GCGCACCACCCGCTCCCGGGAGGCCACTGCGGCGCGCTGCAGGGGGGCAGGCAGGAGAGCAGTGAGGCCTTCTCCCCTCTTCCTTCGCCCCACCCCTGCAGTCGCAGACCCCTGAGGGGCTCCCCGCGCCCCTCGATTCCCGCGAACACCCCAGGTCGGCCCTGTCCAGGGAGCCGGGCGGGGGACCCGGCGCGTCGGTCCTGGCTCCTGTGGACCTTGCAGCCCCGGAGGTGGGAAGGCTGATGCCGGGATGCTCAGGGATTACGCCACAGCCCCCAGGAGTGCGAACAGGTTGTCCGCCCAGCTGCGTTTTGCAATTAAAACGTTGCCTTCTCTGGAGAGGTTTCCCACCCTGTTTTTGTTGGCTTCGGGGAGATCCCAAGGGTCCCCGTGCCATTTCCTCTCTGGGAGTGTTTTCCAAAACGGACCCGGGGCTGCCGCCCCCAGAATCCACCTCCCTTTCTGACACATTTTAGGAACCACATAAGGACCTAGACTGAAGAGTTATAGAGGGATAGATGGGACGAGGGACTGGTGGGGCGTGGCAGCTATCGGGTTAAATATTATCCAGCAATCCAGCATTTGTCATTAATGTCAACCACCCCCCCAATAAAAGAGTGGTAGAGCAGAAGAGCTCTAATGCGAATTTGTGAAAGAAACACCACAGGGTAACGTTGGAAATGCGAGTCCCTGAGGGAGAATTGTGCTAGCTCAGGAACCCTGCCTCCCCCTAGAAAGTCATGTTGCAAACTGAGTCTCTGGTCCAGTAGGTTTACATGTGCCCAGAACTTATCAACATATACTAAATTACAGGAAAAAAAAAAAAGTTAATTAGTTCCTTGGACATCGTACATGATTCCCAGGCTGGTCCACCAAGGCTTACTGCTCGCTCCCATGATATGGTCAGAACTCTAGGCGCTGAGAATGGGGTTGGGAAACATACCCCCTCCTGCATCCACAGGTGAGAGATCGAGGCTTGGGTCTCTTCCGGGGACGCTTTGTATCCCAGGAGTTTATATATCATAAGTCCACGTACTGGACCCTGGATTCCTGATTGTGTGAACCATATTTGTGTGAGAGATACTTTTGGGAAGTGCTTTGAGCAGTGTGAGAAGGGGCTGGGGAAGCCACTTCCAGAACATTCTGGGCTCCACATGGTTTCAAAGCAGAAACCCTGGGGGCAGAGGTTGTTCCCATGGGCCAAGTCAGGTGGACTGCTGCCCCTTTTGGTCCTGGCCATTCAGCTCTGGGTCCCTGGGCCTGTGGACACAGCCTATAGCCCCTGCCTGGGCTGCCTCCAAGACAGAGCTCTTCTCAGCCACACCACTGAGGCCTGGGCCTGGCTTTCATTTCTGGAATGATGTATGTGGCTGGGGAGGGTGGTGGAGGGGACCTGGACTTGGCTCAGAGACGGAGGGGCAGCATCCCCATAGGTTGTCTGAGCCCCTGAACTCACAAACCAGCTGGAGACACCTGACCTTAAAGCCTCCTTTTGGTGAGGTACCCAAAGGAGGGCTGGGGGCCTCTGAGCTGGCTAGTATCTGCCACAGGTCAGCAGCAGCCTCACCCTGTCCCCCAACCTCCCAACCAGGGCCTGCTGCGGCCTGATTCCATCCCCCTGGCAACGGATCTGTGTGGTGCTGACAAGCGCAGCAGGCCTCATGGCCATTAGGATGCAGCCTAATGTCCCCGCCACCTGCCAGCCTAGCTCTGGCCCATGCTCCTCCTTGGAGGAATGGCAGTGGAAGGGAGCAGGGAGCATGTTTCTCAAACAAGGACCAACCAGCCCAGCACTCAGCTTGGCCCACTGCTGCCTCCAGCTAAAGGGGGGTGGAGGTGCAGACTTGCTGAGGCTCCAGCCATAGCCCCTGAAGGCCTCAGGTCCCTCCCTTAAGGTGAAATAAACCAGTTGCCAGAGTCGATTCCCACCCCATCCAGTTTTCCAGAGTAGAACTGGGCCCCGTAAGGTTTTCAGCGGCTGATTTTTCAGTCTCCAGGCCCTTCTTCCAAGGTGCCTCAAGGTGGACTCAAACCTCCAACTTTCTGGTTAGCAGCCAAGCACGCAGACTGTTTCCACCTCCTGGGGTGCCATACCCCCTTAAGGAAGCTTCAGCCACAGCCCCTGGAATTCCCACAGTCAGTTTGGATTTGGGGTCAAAACCCTGTGGTTCTCTCTTTCGATGCCAGCATTTCCTCAGAAGTAACTGGTCCTCCAAATCTTGACTCAAATAACTTTATAGTTTAAGAAATTATCTTGCAAAGGCATAGAGCTACAAATGCAGAGGGGAGGCTGTGGGGAGTCACTGCTGAAGGGGTAGTGAGTTTGGAGAGATGAAAACATTTTAGAAAAGGTGATGGTGATGGTTGCCTAGAAGCTCTGGTGGCACAGTGGGTAAATGCTTGGCTGTGCATTTAACGGGTGGGTCAGCTGGTTCAAACCCACCAGCTGCTTTGCAGGAGACAGATGTGGCAGTCTGCTTCTGTGAAGACTGACAGCCTTGGAGACCCTGTGGGGCAGTTCCACTCTGTCCTGTGAGTCGGAATCACTCCATGGCAGTGGGTTTGGTTTGAGCTTTGCTTCTGTGAAGATTGACAGCCTTGAAACCCTGTGGGGCAGTTCCACTCTGTCCTCTAGGGGCGCTGTGAGTGAGAACTGACTCAAAGGCAGTAGGCGTTGGGATGGTTGTGCATGGTGGATATAATTAATGCCACTGAATTATACACTTAAAAATGCTTAAAATGGGGGAAAAAAATTAAGAAAGAAAGAAATGGCCCTGAGGAAAAAGGACTCAAAACAAGGAACATGTGACATGTGACAGAGAACAGACTAGAGCCAGAGTCCCTGGTGGCGGCAGGCGGTATTGCAGCAAGGAGAATGGGGCACAGTTGAGCACAAACTTACTTGCTTCTCAGATCTGCTGAGTCAGTCAGGGCTCTCCCTTCTCCTCTTCTCCCCAGCACCTGTGGGGTGGAGCACACAGAAAGAGCTCAGTCAGTACCAGGCCAGTGAGCAGTCCTCCTGGGTCAGTATCCAGGTGGGCTGACCCTTCTGTCACCTCTCCAGTTGTCACTCAGCAGTGGTGCTGAATACCTACTATGTGCCAAGCACTGAGCTAGGCACAGGGGAGATGGAGAGGACCTCTGTCTCCAAGGAGCGTGCAGTGCAGTGGGAGAGGCATTCCGGTGGTGGAGACAGCAAGGAGAAAGGCCCTGAGGCACGTAAGGACAGCGTGCAGGGAACCTCAAGAGTTAAAGTGGCCGGCTGCAGCATGGCTGTCAAGATGTAAGTGTGGACTCCACCCTGAGGGTGGCCCATGATCAGATTTATCATGCAGGAAGCTCTCTATTGGGGGTGGCTGAGGGGGGCAGGACTGGAGGCCTGGAGGCAGTAATCCAGACAGGGATTAGCAGCATTAGTGGTGACAGACAGGACAGGACCATCCCCAGATGGAAGGAGTCAGTGTTAAGAGCCTGGAGATTAACTCCTGGGGCGGCTGGAGCCTCTGTCCTGACAGAGTGAGGGTGAGGAGAGTGATGGGTAGGAGGAGGGGAGGAATCTGGGGGTCTAGAGCAAACCAAAAATCAAACCCACTGCCACTGAGCTGATACTGAGTCATAGAGACCCTATAGGACAGAGTAGAACTGTCCCATAGGGTTTCCAAGGGTGAAATTTTGACAGGAGCAGACTGCCACATCTTTCTCCTGCAGAGTGGCTCTGAGTTCCAATTGCCGACCTTTGGGTTAACAGATGAGCGCTTAACCACTGCACCACCAGGGCTCCTCTAGCTACTCGGGACTGTTGTTAGCTACTCTCAAGTCAATTCTGACCCATGGTGGCCTCATGTGTATCAAAGAACTGTGCTCACTGGGTTTTCAAAACTAGGACCTCTGGGAAACAGACCACCACAGGCCTGTCTTCAAGGTGCCTCCAAGTAGGTTCAAACACGTGACCAATCAAAAACAAAAAACCAAACTCGCTGCCATCAAGTCGGATCTGACTCATAGCGACCCCTCCTTGGGTTTCTGAGGTGGTATCACTACCACAACAGAAGTAGATTGCCCAGTCTTCCTCCGGAGGAATGGCTGGTGGGTTTGAACCAGCCTTCTGGTTAGCAGTCAGATGCCAATAAAAAGTTAAAACAAAAAGTTGGAGGTTCGAGTCCACCCAGAGGCATCCTGGCCTAGTGACCTGCTTCTAAGAAGTCAGCTATCAGAATCCCTACGGAGCCCAGCCTGCTCTGATACGCCTGGGGTCACCAGGAGCCATAATCGACTGACATCATCTGGTTTTGCTGGTAAAGAGCTTGTGTTATAGAGTCAGTTGGGCCCAGGTTCGAATCCTGGCTCAACCATGTGGGACTCCATCAGTCACTCAAGCAGCCTGAGCCTGTTTTCCCACCTGTAATAGAATCACAGACACTAGGCCAGAGAGTGGCAAGGGGATTCCTTACCACTCTCCAGCCTGAAACACAGTCTCTGTTTCTGGGCTCCTAGGCCTGTATGAACTCCGCCTCACCACCGATGGCCCTGCTACCACAGGGGCAGAGGTGACCATCTCGGCCAGCTTCGTGGCCAGGGCCAACGGCAGCCTGGCCCTGCCTGCCGATGCCCACCTCTACCGCTTCCACTGGATTCACACCCCACTGGTGCTCACCAGCAAGACCGAGAAGGCTCTCAGCTCGACCATCCGTGTGGTTGGCAACGTGCCTGGGGACATGCCGGTCTCCGTCTGGGTGACTGCTGCCAATTGCTGGATGTGCCAGCCTGTGGCAAGGGGCTTCACCGTCCTCCCCATCACAGGTGAGGACCATCTGTGTGTGCACATTTCCCTTCCTGCTCTTGGTGCACAGTACAAAGTCATGTAAGTACCAATCAGATCCGGGATTCCTTCTCTGTTGTCAGTTGAGTTCACAAAGGATCAGAAAATGGTAATACCCAGTGCTGGCAGACTTGTCCTGAAATGGACAGGTAAAGCACATATTGCTTCCGAGGTTATAAATGAACACAGCCCTTAGGAGAGCAGTTAGTCCTTGTGTGTCAGTGGTTATAATTTTTTTGAAAATCCTTCCTTCATTCTCATCCTCTCTCATTCCAAGAGGTTCTTGCCCTCTTACAGCTTACAATCTATCAAAAGAATTTATCTCCAGGAAATAAAACTCCACTGGGTAACAAAGATGTTCACTGTTTATAACAGCAAAAGAAAGGATGCTGTTGTTCTTAGGTGCCATCAAGTCAGTTCCAACCTATTAGGACTGCAAGTACGACATGCTGCCTGGTCCTGCACCATCCTTACAACTTTTGCTGTGTTGGAGCCCACTGTTGCAGCCACTGTGTCACTCCATCTCACTGAGGGTCTTCCTCTTTTTCAAAGGCATCAACTCTACTTCAGTCTTCCTTATTCATTGTCCAGGTTTAACATGCATAAGAGTCAAATAAAGATACCATGACCTGGGTCAGGTACACCTTGCTTTTTAAAGAGGTCTTTTGCAGCAGAATTGCCCAATGTCACATGTCATTTGGTTTCTTGACTGCTGCTTCCATAGGCAATGTTTGTGGATCCAAGTAAATGAAATCCTTGAAAACGCCAGTATCTTCTCTATCATGATGTTGCTCACCAATGCAGTTGTGAGGATTTTTGTTTTCTGTTGAGGTGTAACCCATACTGAAGGCTGTAGTCTTTATCTTCATCAGTAAGTGCTTCAGGTCCTCTTCACTTTCAGAAAGCAAGCAAGGTTGTGTCATCTGCATATTGCAGGCTGCTAATAAGTCTTCCTCCAATCCTAATGCCCTTTTCCTAAAAGAAAATACAAATAAGCTAATTATCCAACCCCAAGGGGACTAGTTAAGTAGACTGAAATAACTTAAATAACTCTTAATAATGGTCATTACAAAGAGTTTGTTAATGTCATGGGGACATATTCATGCTTGTCAAATTTTTTTAAAAAGCAATTTTACATATAAAATCATATAACCAATTGGATGAGCTGACTTATGTTTATTTGCATTCAACTACTAACTTAGAGGTTGGCAGTTCAAACCCACCCAGTGGCTCCATGGAAGCCTGAAGATCTGCTTCCGTGAAGACTGACAGCCTTGGAAACCCTACAGAGCAGTTCTACTCTGTAACACGTGGGGTCACCGTGAGTCGGAACTGACTCAGTGGTCATGGGTTTGATTTTGTTGTTGTTCTTGTTTAATTATTAAACACACACACACTTTGCATTACTTCAAAATGTCAACAATGGTTGTATTTGAGTGGTGGGTGATTTCTTTTCATTCCATCTTTATTGAGCACACCTTACTTTCCACTCTGGTGGTGGGAAATCAGCACTTAAAGTTATTTTGAGAGAAGGAGACACGGGGCAGTCACCTTGTCCAGCACACTAGGTATGGGGATGTGATCAGCACAACTGCTCGTTCTCCTGGGCTCATCGAACATTTTGAAACATTTCCTCCTGGTCCTGGACATCTTCTGTCTCAGAAAGTCTGGGGTCCTGGTGGAAGGGGGCGAAGTAAAGCTACGCACGTAACATATACAGTGAGTCTTTGCAAGTGTCCACGCAGCAGGGGAAACAAGGTAGAGGGCATGTTCAGTGACCTGTGGGGGCCACACTCCGGCTCGGCGGTGCCAACCAGAGGTCGAGGACAGGGACAGGCTGTCTTCTGTAGCAGGAGGCCACTCCCTAGCTCTGCACCCCCCCACCTCCCTGGACTCACCCTCCTTGGTCTCCCCCAGAGTTCCTGGTGGGGGACCTCGTCATCACCCAGAACAGCTCCTTGCCCTGGCCCAGCTCCTACCTCACCAAGACCACCCTTCAAGTCTCCTTCCTCCTCCACGACCCAAGCAACTTCTTCAAGTCAGCCTCGTTTCTTTACAGCTGGGACTTCGGAGACGGGTACGTCCCTACCCCCCTGTATGCTCTCACGGTTTGGCCCAGGGCTGGAGGGCTGTCCTTTGCATTTTGCAGATGCCCCATAGTTCCCATCCCTGCTCGCGCTTGCTCTAAACATTTCTCCAGCAAGTACTCTGTGCAGGCGGGGGTAGGGGGACACTGGCAGTGGTCACTGGCCCTGTCTTCGAGGTGCCTGCAGCCTCATAGAGGAGGCCACTGGCATTGCAGGAGAGAGCATGAGGCTGTAGCTTTGTGGTCACACCTGCCATGTAGGTCTGGTTCTCCCTGGATGAGGAGAGCAAGGCCGAGTTCCTTAGATAAGACTCCAGAGCTAAGAGTTCAATCCACATGCATCTTAACTCCAAAGGCCTTACTTGTAGCCTCCCCAGGTTGTCCCTGTCTCTGACACACTGCCTTGCCCAGGTTCCTGGCTGGGGATGCAGAGCACATCCCTGGCAGGTGAAGGGTACCTCCCACCTGTAATATACAAAGATGAGCAGCAGCCAATTTAGCTAAGTGCAACGTGGGCCTCTGACCAGGTCTCCGGGGGTGGCTTGTAGGTGTTGACACTGGTGGAACTTCAGGCAGCATGGCAAACCTGTGGTCTGATGGGAACTGCTTGTGGATAAGTGCATATTCTGACACTGCCCCGCGGCCTTTCCTGACTTTTCGGGCCTCAGTTTCCTCAGCTGTGAAATGGCCGGGCTGGGCCAGCTGGCCTCGAGTCCCAGCGGGCTCTGGGTGCTGCCACAGGCATGGCAGAGAGTACACAGCACAGGTTTTGGTGGGCACCTGACTTGCATACATCATTCGAGTCACTTCTGAGTTGCAGGAAAGAAAAATAGCACTGTCATCTTTTTCTCTCCTCTCCCCGGCCGCCTCACAGGACACAGATGGTGACCGAGAACCCCGTGGTCCACTACAACTATTCGATTATCGGAACCTTCACCGTGAAGCTCAAGGCGGTGGCTGAGTGGGAGCAGGTGAAGCCGGATGCCGGCAAGGGCACCGTGCAGAAGACGGGTGACTTCTCTGCCTCGCTGCAGCTGCAGGGTCAGTCTGCGGGTGGGGCTGCCATAGCGGGAGCAGCTGGCCCCCATGGGAAGCCCAGACACCCTTCCTCCAGGGCTTGATCAGAGCGGGTCTGGCCAGGCACAGGCATGTCCTCATCTTGAGCCGCCGGCTGCCCTCGGAGGCAGACTCCATCATGATCCCTGTGTTAAAGAGGGCGGAGTCCGTGGTGGGGTAAACGCGCTCATCTGCTAACCAAAACGTTGGAGGTTCAAGTCCATCCAGAGGCCCATCAGAAGAAAGGCCTGGTGATCTACTTCCGAAAAACCCGCCACTGAAACCCTGTGGAGCAGTTCTACTCTGACACACAACAGATCACTGTGAACTGGAATGTACCCAACAGCAACTGATGACTGTGATTAAAGAGGGCACTGACGCCACAGACGGGGTCATGAGGCTGCCGAGCTGGAAAGCAGATTTCGAACCCAGGACTGTCTGTCCCACAGTCTGAGCTTTGCAGCAACTTGGCACCTTGTCCTCCAGCCACATCGCCCTCTGGCCAGTGCTGTGGCAAGGGCTGGGATGGCCCATGGCAGTTTTCTGTTCAGTCTACTGCATAGAGGGGTCCCCAAGCTCCTTGTCCTGGCTGGCAAGAGGGGACCGTGGCTGATTTCTTGGTTTGCTGGGCTTTCCTCCCATGGCCAGATGCCACCACTGATGGCAGAGAGCAAGAAAATTGACAGGGTCCCAGGGAGTTGGCAGTGGTCCCAGGCTGGCCCTTGGGCCTGGACACTGGAGCCCTATAGCCTCTGCTACCTTCCTTACTCCAGGTGGTCTCCAGCACCTGCTGCAGACAGGAGCAGGAGGTGCCCTGGAGAAACCTGTGATCTTCCTTTGAGAGGTGACCTGTGGAAATGGGAGAGGCCAGGGTGGTGGTTACGCAGCCCCAGACCCTGGAGCTCTGAGACAGTTGTCCTCAGGGACCAGGTCTAAACAGGGTCCTTTCTGCCTTTCAGAAACCCTTCGAGGCATCCAGGTCTGGGGGCCCACCCTAATTCAGACCTTCCAAAAGATGACAGTGACCTTGAACTTCCTGGGGAGGTGAGTGAACCCAAGTGTGCTGTGGGTGCCCCATGGGCCCTGCCCATATGTGCCAGCAGGTGCTCCTGAACCTGCTCCATCCCCTGGTGGGTTTCCAAGTCTGAATGGCAGGAAGGCCATCCTGCCCGACAATACCATGGAGACAGCACAGTGTTCAGTCCTGAAAGGCACTCTGAAGTTCACGCCCACTAGGCCTTTACTGGCCCTGGCCTTGCTCACGCTCCTTGCCAAGCCACTTCTGAAAATGTCCCCATCTTCCTACAGCCCCCCATTGACCACGTGCTGGCGCCTCAAGCCGGAGTGCCTCCCACTAGAGGAAGGGGAATGCCATCCAGTGCCAGTGGCCGGTACAACCTACAACCTGACCCACACCTTCAGGGACCCTGGGGATTACTGCTTCAGCATCCGAGCTGAAAATGTCATCAGCAAGACGCATCAGTACCACAGGATCCAGGTGTGGCCCTCCAGTAAGTGACAATTCTGCTCCAGTGCCACACAGGCAGCAAAACCACCACCAGTACACTACTATCTGCCAACCCTACCAACATCATCTATACCCAGTCCCACAACTAACAACAGCAACTACTGACTCCAGCAACAACCAACACCACCACTGACCAGCTCTGCCAATACCACGACCTACCCACTCTACTATCAGCAGCTATTCTACCACCCAGTACCATACCAACCACATCCACCAACCCCAACACTACCACCACACAACTCTACCATCCACAACCAACTCACCAACCCCAATACCACCACCACCACACAACTCTACCATCAACAACTCTACCAGTCCAAATACCATCATCAACCAACTCTATAAACCCCAATATCACCACCAACCTATTCTATCACCAATAACTACCAAATCTAATACCACACCAACCAAGTCTACCATCAGCAACTCTACCAACCCCAGTATTACCACCACCAAACTACACCATCAAAAACCAACTCTACCAACCCAAATAGTACCACCACCAAGCTCTACCACAGCAACCAACTGTATCAGCTTCATACCACCAATCAGTTCTACCAATATCACCATCAATATCAGCACTACTAGCAATAACAACAACTCAGCTATTTCAACCCAATTTTATCAGCACCACTACCACTACCACCACACATACTAGTAACAATGTATCCAACACCATCATTATCACTACCACCAACATTCCCACTAAATTATCTTAGTAGCCCCTAAATATTGCCAGCAGAACCAACACACTTTGTTGTAATCACTGCCACCCAAATCACTACCACCATCTACACCGTTAAATCACATATCACCAATGCCAACCATCTGTACCAACACCCTAGCTGCACAGCACCCCATGTTACCCCAATTTCAATTCTCTCATTACCACCACCAGTGCCATCAGCATCCCCTCCCGTGTATTACCAATACCACATATATCCCCCACATAGATACTCTCACGTTCAGCCAGCCACCAAATTTCAACCCTCACTCCTCCACCACCCTCACCCACTCCAGCACCATCACCTCCATCACAGAGCTGTGGTCACCACCAAAACCACCATCCCCACCCCACTCTCCCAAAACTCTCTCAACACCTCACTACACCCACCCCAGCAGGGATCATCCCAACTCCCCTCCACTCCTTAGCACCAAGGCCTCCCTAAATGGGGGCACGAGGAGAGCAGAGGTCCAGAGATCAGGAGATCGGACCCTGGCCCTTTCTTGGCTGAGTTGCTGGCCTTCCCAGCCTCACCCTATGTTAACAGGATCAGTAGCAGTGCCTGACTCACAGGGCTGTTGTGAGTCTTCTCAGGGATGTGAGCTGCTCAGAAAGTCCCAAGTGTGGTCAACCATCTCCCCTTGGAATACCAGTTGCTGTTGAGTGGCTTCCAAGTCATTAGCAGCCTCCTGTGTGTCTGAGTGGCACTGTGCTCCATAGGTTCTAAGCAGCTAGTTTTCCAGAAGTCAATCATCAGGCCTTTTCTCTGAGGTGCCCTGGGGTGGACTCAAACCTCCAACTTGTTTGTTAGCTGAGTGCATCAAGTGTCTGCACCACTACAAATTCTGTTGTCCAAACCATCATCAGGCCCAGCTACTACCTTAGGGGCACTGTAACTGACAACAGCTTAGGTGTCTCCCCTTCATCTCTGTAGGGCACTCCTTACATAGAGAAGAAAAGTAGGATCCTAGAACCCTAAGAGGTGGTCTTACAGATGCCCAAGCCAGTCTCACCTTTTGTGGTACAGAAAGAGAAATGAAGGTCCAGAGAGGCAACAAGACTTTCATCGAATCTGAGTATCCTGAGAATCCAGGCTTTCAGGTTCTCAGTTCCGTGCCCCATTCTGGGGTAGGAGCTTTTCCTAGTCCCCCTCAGATCATCCCAAATCCCGCTAGCTGCATCTGCTGGTCCTGTAGGTGCACCCAATGCTGTCACTGTCCCCTCTAGTCTCTCCAGTCCCCTTTGAACCCTTGAGCAGACAACTATATCTACTCTGGCCCTGGCTGACCTTGTAGTTAAGGCAGCCTGTGACCTGTGGATATTGTCGGGGGCACTGGGCCCTGCTTCCCCCAGCTACTCGTGGACACTGAGTGCCTGGGACCCCTGAGTTCTGCAGAGAAGACACACAGTAAAGGTAGTCAGTGCTGCCTTTTCTTGGGCGACAGATCCTCATGGCACATGAGGAAGTGTCTATACTAGCAGGAGGGTGAGGGAAGAGCAGGAGGGACCCATACTTCTTGGTCACCTTCACATGCCAGGCACCCTCACATCCCTCATCTCCTTGCTGTGTCCTCATAGCAGCCTTGCAGGTCAGCATAGCATCAGGTAGCCCGGCCAGCACCAGGATTCAAACCCAGGACTGGCTAACTCCAGACACTGGCCTCTTTCTACTCCATCCACAATGCTATTTCCTAAAAGCAGGGCCACTGGGTGATCCCAGAGCTGCCAAAGGGCAGAAAGCTGCAGAAGTCACAGGCCTGCTTGAGTGTCTAAACAACATGGCTTCCCCAGAGCATGAGAGTTCTGCCTGAGGCCTCCAAGAGACAGAACAAAGAGGAAGCTGTGATGTCTTTCACAGTCTAGCTGGAAGTCAGTACCATCACACTCTGGCTGTTCGTTAGAACCAATCCACTGAGGCCAGCACGCACTCAAAGGGTGGGGAGGTCAGCTTCCCTTCTAAAAGGTGAGGGTATCAAATAATTTGTAGACATATCTTAAGACCCATTCACACCCCAATTTTTACTTTTTTACTTTGTGAATTTCGAATTTACCTAGTTGAGGTTGCCTAGCTGGGATGCATGTACATAAGGGGAAGAAAAAACAAGTCACTGGTGGGGCTTGACAGTTTTCCCCCCAGCTATTATCTCCTGAGAACCAGCATTCAGCACCAGTGGCCTCAGTTCTGAGTGTTACTGTGACCTCTCTCCCTCCCAGGCATACAGCCTGCTGTCTTTGCTTTCCCATGTGCCACACTTATCACTGTGATGCTGGCCTTCATCATGTATGTGACCCTGAGGAATGCCACTCGGCAAAAGGACATGGTGGAGGTAAGTGGTCAGAAGTCTGAACCACTGGGCCCTGACTAGTGAGGATCTGGGCTGAGGAGGGGATGGGGACAAGGCCATGAGGCTTAAAGTGGATCTTGATATTAAAGCAAGCTCCTGGAACTAGAGGTGATGTGCCCAAGAAGCATCCACAGATCAGACAAAATTGTTGGCTTAGCTTGTTCCCCTCTGACTTTTCGTCTGTGGTCACCTCTTCCCTGGTACTTGTGTCCATGAGCCACTGAGGGAGAGAGCAACTGATAGAGGGAGACCAAGGTAGCAGAAAGACCAAAGGCATGGAGAAGTTCTGTGTGGTGCCAGAAAGGCATGTCTGTACCCTCTGCCACCAGGCAGCTGAGCTCATAAGGCCACCTCACGGGGTGCCTGGTGGGTGGGTGATTGACCCGTGGTGTTTTGTTTACAGTAAGTGGCTGATTTTGACTTTTTCCCCTTGTCTTACAAGAATCCAGAGCCACCTTCTGGGGTAAGGTGCTGCTGCCAGGTGTGCTGTGGGCCCTTCTTGCTTGAGACTCCAGCTGAGTACCTGGAAATTGTCCGCGAGAACCATGGACTCCTCCCGCCCCTCTACAAGTCTATCAAAACTTACACTGTGTGATCACCCTCCCGCTATTCCAGCTAAGTGCCGACTGTCAGCTTGGAGCTACCAGAGGGTGGTGCATGCCACTGAACAGGAAGAGTTCATGTGTACAGGGGCTTACCCCAGCCGTCTGCCTGTCCATCCATATGTACAGTCCAGCCACTGCCACAAGCCTCTTTCACTCACCTTCCTGTTCCTCTGATGAAGAGGCCTCAGGCAGAACTCAGACACTTGGTATGTTCCCTCTTCTCTCCCAGGTGTACCTGGCTGCTCCTCACCCATTCTTCTTAGATTGGCATATCTGCCATCCATCTGAGGCTCACTTCCCCCTCACCCATGTCAGAGAGTCAGGAGGAGGCCAGAAAGTCACAAACTGTTAGAATACCTAACTATATAAATCATGCACACAGAGACATGCACATGCACACGCAGACATGTACACACATGTCACGCAGGCATCTTGGATTTGTCCCTCTGTATCAGTTAAGTAATTTTTGGATGGACCCTTAGAATGGACATGAAGTTTGACTTTCCCTACTTGGTCCCAACAGTTCCCAGGTCTGGTCCCTTCCATTCTCTGTGTGTTGTTTCTGTGACCATGTGGTCTCATTCCAAGGCCACCTTACTCCCTGCCTGCTTGCTGGTGGTTGAGTGGGGGTAAGAGTGCCACCTGGTGAGTGCAGAGTGCTTTACAAATATCTACTTCTGTCGCAACTCGTGAATTCAACTTGAACTGCGGAAATGGCCTTGCAGCCAAAGACTCTGAAGCCAGTGGACTTGGAGTCCCTGGAGGTGAATGGTGTTCCTCCTGTCCAGCTGCTCCCAAGGGGGCCTTGAGAAGGAATAAGCGGGACTGGACAGAGCTGGGTGAGAAACAAGCTTCTCTTCTCCCCTCTGGCCTGGGGCTTGGGGCCAACAGTGCATGTCAGGAAGAAGCTGCAGGAGCGGAAGGGGAGACTGGCCAGGCCCAGCTCCAAGCATCCCGGAGTCCCAGGAACCACGCGCGTGAGTTGTCTGGGGATGGAAGGAGCAGGCCCTGGAGCTGTCACTGTATCATCGGCTCTCAGATGTCCTGCCGGAAATGGCCTTCATTCACACTGTTACGCAGCTCTCTCATGAAATCCTGCCATTATTGCTGAATAAAAGCTTGTGTGCTCTGAATATAGCCAAACATTGGAAGTGTGGTTGAGTCTCTCTCACGCATGTAAGCTGGGATCTTGCAAGGGGCGAGAGCAGTTCTTGCACACGGTGGGACATCTGTCTCCTTCTGAGGTAGAGTGAACTACAGCTGCTATACAACAGGGTCCTGGGCCTGGATTAGTGGGTTGGATAAAAACCAAACCCACTACCATCAAGTCGATTCCTACCTGGCGACCCCATGTCTTACAAGCAGAACTCCTCCATAGGGTTTTCTTGGCTGTAACCTTTAAGGAAGCAGATCACCAGGCCTGTCTTCACAGTGCCACTGGGTGGGTTGGAATTGCCAACCTTTGTTGTTGTTGTTATGTGCCGTCGAGTCGACCCCGACTCATAGAGACCCCTCCTTGGGTTTCCGAGGCAGTATCACTACGGAAATAGGATTGCCCAACCTTCTTTCCGAGGAGTGGCTGGTGGGTTTGAACCGCCAGCCTTCTGGGTTACCAAAAAAAAAAAACCTCACTGCCGTTGAGTTGGATCTGACTCATAGTGACCCCTCCTTGGGTTTCCAAGGCAGTATCACTACGGAAGTAGATTGCCCAATCTTCCTTCTGAGGAGTGGCTGGTGGGTTTGAACCACCAGCCTGGTTAGCAGTCAAATGCTTCAGGCACTACACCACCAGAGCTGAGTGCAGGTCTCAGACTGCTGCTGCATCACAATAAAACATCACAGGCTGACTGGGGTCTCTGGAAGTGGGTCAAGGCATCCCCAGGTGCAATGGAGTCTGAGGCCCTGGGGTCGACTCTAGAATATGGTGCTACTTGTTGGAAATGTAGATTCTTGGCCCCACCACAGATCTGGATCAGCACACGGGAGGGGGAGGAGAAGCACCAGCTGTCTGCTTTCACAAGCCCAGGGTGGGGGCAGGGTTCTGGTGTGCATTCTAGTGTGAGGACCTCTAGTCTTCAGCAGGGCTTCTCAAATTTTAAAGAATTCAGGGAATGTTTTTCAGTTTAAGGTTTAAAGATTATCTTAGAGTAATAGGTTCAAGGGTTCATCTAGCCTCCATGGCTCCAGAAAGCCTGGAATCCATGAGGATTTGATATTCTGTTCAGCATTCTTCCCCTTTTGATCAGGATTCTTCTATGGGATCTTTGATCAAAATGTTAACTGGGTGCCATCCAGTTCTTCTGGTCTAGTGGCAAAGGAGGCAGTTGTCCATGGAAGCAATCAGCCACACATTCTGTATCCTCCTCTTATTCCTGATTCTCCTTCCTCTGTTGCCCCAGGTGAATAGAGACCAATTGTAGTGCCTTGGGTGGGCACTTCCAAGCTCTTAAGGAGAGGATGTTCTTGCCTTGAGTTATCGTGAAGTATTCTTGCTAGCTGGGGCCAGGTGTTTTAGAAAATACTACTCCCTGTGTAACACACAGCTCCTCTGTCTCCCTGTTGTCTGGGGATGGAAGGTGCAGGACTGGGAGCCTTCAGGGAAACCAAGGATGAGCAAATCTAAACTCCAGACCAAATGGTTGCCATCCAGTCAACTCGGACTCACGGTGACCCCAGGCTGTCAGAGCAGAACTGTGCTCCCAGGGTTTTCAATGCTGTGATCTCTTTTTTTTTTTTTTTTTTTCAATGCTGTGATCTCTTGTAAGTAGATGCCAGGCCTTCCTTCAAAGGTTCAAAGGAACCTCTGGATGGATTCAAACTGCCAACCTTCCAGTTAGCAGCTGAATGCATTAACATGTGCACCGGCCAGCGGCTCCGGCTAAACTCCAGGCTGGGGAATTGAGAAGTGGTTGGTCACACAAGGAAAGGATTTACATCTCTGCATGAGATCATCAGGTACTTCTGCAAAAAGGATGTAGAGGCGACATCTTCTGACCTCCTCTAACTTCACAAGAGGAAGATGGAATCACCATCAGCAGCCCAAGGCTGATTCCTATGACGCCAGACATGCCACCAGCCTCCAGCCTTTTACCAATTCTGACACCAACACTCCCTCCCATGGCACTCACTACTTCCCTGCTGGGTTTGATAATTCGTTGCAATGGCCACACACAACTCAGACGATATTCATGATTATGGGGTTTATTGGGAAATAACAGGCTACAATTCAGGTTCAGGAATGCGCTCTGGATATAATCCTTCCCTCAGGACAGTCTCCCTTCTGGTGTGTCCTCACCCTGGCCCTTGGCCTTTTGGCCTGGCCTCTCCCCTTCTTAGGCAAGTGTTACAAAGTTCCTTTAGCTCTGCTGATAGGTGTACCCCAATCCGTCAGTAAGCCTTCTGCCCAAGGGCACTCAGCTTTCTCGCTTGGTGGGCCAGGTAAGCTCACCACTGCCTCGTGCCTCGTGGTTCCACTGCCACTGTCTCTCTCTGCTGGACATCTCTCAGCCAAGGAGGTCCAGTGCAAGGATCCCAGGTCCAAGGACGTACTCTATTTCACCTCTACCTCTTTTCTCTTGATGGCAGTGAGGTCCTGTCTCTGCCTCTAGGAGGGCTCATTTTAAGCCTGGCAAAGTGACCAAACTGACCAATCCCAACATCAGTGTCCTACACACCTTATTTGCATGGCTCCACCCAGTAATCTGGTGGCAATTACAAACACTATGGCTAGAAAAGGTTGCCAAGTCATTCACTGCGCCACAGGCCACCCCTAGCTTTTCTAGCCACTGTCCCTTTTATACTTCAAAAATTATCATCCCCTTCACAATCAGTTTAAGAATAAACACACCCACAATATCATGTAAGCCAGCCACGTCATGCCTTTATCTCCCCTATTTTAAATAGCCAATTTCCAATTTGCCCGTCCTGATCAAAGTAGCACTATGAGAGACAAGCATGTTCCTTTCTCTCCGAAGAATCTTCTTTTGTTTGGAACTTTGGGCACCTGCCTCCATAAACAAGCAAAGTCCAGTGAAGAGCAGTCATCAAATTGCAGCAACTTAACACCTCAGTGTCCTCAGTGTCAAATATCTTCCTCTTTGTTTGGTCAGGTTCTGGTTAGCTAAGCCCTAGCCATCCTATCTAGGTCAAGAGTACCAGCTGCAAGTTTGGAAGTCATACTATTCCCTTCACTTCAGACCAGCCAGCATCTTCTCTCTCCCTCATCCCTAGTCTTCAGAGACTATTCAACGCCTGTAGACTCAGAAGTCCACACAACTCCTTGCATTTCAGACCAGCCAGCCCTTCCTTTCATCCCTCACTTCCATTTTAAGACATTTCAGTTCCTTCTCTTCATCTTGAAGATCTTCCTGTTCTATGTATATGGCCTTGGGCATCTGGCCAGGTTTAACCAAAAGCCTTAGCCTCTGGATCAATTACCTTCTTCAATCCACCTGGCTGTTGCCTCAGGCCTTTCTCCCCTCAACCGCAGCATGATCTCTCTATAGCCCGCCATTACGTAATAACCACCAAAGTAACCATCGAAGAATCCAAAGTTTCACTTCCCAGGCCCCTTCCTCCTTTCTCTTACAAAGTCCCATGCTTCCATGAGTCTGGAGCCACTGCCATGAACCTTGCTTCTGACACCAATGGCAAAAAACGACGTGGAGGGGAGTTACAAAGACCATGGCTAGAAAAGCCATGCCAAGTATGTCACTGCATCACAGCTTCCCTTACAACTGTCAAATTTATTTATTTTAACAAATTGTTAACTACGTAAGAGGTTGCACAGAGAGCCACCACCACTACCAGTTGGTTCTGACCCCGTGCGTTGCCCAGTAGAACTGCGCTCCGCAGGATTTTCATGGCTGTGACCATTTGGGAGGCGACTGCCAGCACTTTCTTCCGCAGTGCCTCTGGGTGGCTTTGAACTGCCAACCTTTCCATTAGAAGTCCAGCACTTAACTGTTTATGCTACTCACTGACTCCACTAGGATAAAAATGAAGGGGAAAAAAAAAGAATGAGGGCTTCAGAGGAAGAAGCCAATCACCTGCCACTTGGGAGATGGTCATGAGCTGCACTGTGACAGAGTTGAAAACCATCACTGGACTTGGAAAATGTCAATGGCCATGGGCTGCTTGGGTTGAG